AAGCAGAATAACATTTATTAAGCACCTACAGTGTGCCACACACTATCCTAAGTGTTAGGGAGACAAAGAAAAGCAAAAGACAGCCTTTGCCCTCAGTGAGCTCCCAGTCTAATGGGGGCCAACCAGTGTGGCCAACAAGATCGAGAGGGGAGAAACTGGTGGATGCCAGAAGAGAACACGGCAGGGGGTAGAAGGTATAAAAAGACCAGGAAGGTGGCTTTGGGGGTAGGTTAGGAAGGAGTTTGTATTTGAACCTGGAGGTAGTAGGGACCCCATCTGGGGTTTTGTTGGCAGAGATACTTTTCCTCCTCTAGCTCATTTTATAAATGAGAAAACCGAGGCAAACAGGGTTAAGTGACTTGCCCAGGGACACACAGCTAGGAAGTGCAAGGTACTAAGGGAGCCATTGGAGTCTGTGGGGTGGGGATGGGGTGACATCATCATCACTAGCGTTTATATAGCTCGTTAAGATTTGCAAACCCTGTGGCAAATACCTCGTTTAATCCTCACAACGCGCCTGGGAGGCAGATGCTACTGTGATCCTCATTTTACAGTTGAGGAAACCGAGGCAGAGGTTAAGTGACTTGCCCAGCATCACGTGGCTAGTAAGTAACTGAGGTCAAGTTTGAACTTGGGTCTTCTGCCTCCAAGTCCAGGGCTGTAGCCACAGTGCCACCTCGCTGCCGGTCAGGGTTCTGCTTTAAAATCAATGCGACGGCTGAGTGGGGTTTGGAGTAAAGAGAGACCTGAGGTCGGGAGACAAGTTGGCAGGTTATTGGACTGGTGCAGGCATTAAGCGATGAGGGCCTGGACTAGGCAGCGCTGGACCAGAGAAGGAAGGAAGAGAAGGAGGGATGGAGGAAGGGGAGGAGGAAGGAATGAAGGAGAGAGGAGGGAGGAGGAAGGGAAGGAGGGAGGAATGAAGGAGAGAGGAAGGGATGAAGGGAGGGAGGGAGGGATGAAAGGGGGAAGGAGGAAGGAATGAAGGGAGAGAGGGAGGGAGGGAGGAAGGAAGGAGGAGGAATGAAGGAGAGAAGGATGAAGGGAGGGAGGGAGGGAGGAATGAAGGAGAGGAAGGATGAAGGGAGGGAGGGAGGGGGAATGAAGGAGAGGAAGGGATGAAGGGAGGGAGGGATGAAAGGAGGGAAGGAGGGAGGAATGAAGGGAGAGGGAGGGAGGGAGGAAGGGAAGGAGGGAGGAATGAAGGAGAGAGGAAGGGATGAAGGGAGGGAGGGAGGGAGGAATGAAGGAGAGGAAGGGATGAAGGGAGGGAGGGAGGGAGGAATGAAGGAGAGGAAGGGATGAAGGGAGGGAGGGATGAAAGGAGGGAAGGAGGGAGGAATGGAGGGAGGGAGGAGGGAGGGAGGAAGGGAAGGAGGGAGGAAGGAGAGAGGAAGGGATGAAGGGAGGGAGGGAGGAGGAATGAAGGAGAGAGGAAGGGATGAAGGGAGAGAGGGATGAAAGGAGGGAAGGAGGGAGGAATGGAGGGAGGGAGGGAGGGAGGGATGAAAGGAGGGAGGGAGGGAGGGAGGAAGGGAAGGAGGGAGGAATGAAGGAGAGAGGAAGGGATGAAGGGAGGGAGGGAGGGAGGAATGAAGGAGAGAGGAAGGGATGAAGGGAGAGAGGGAGGGAGGGAGGAAGGGAAGGAGGGAGGAATGAAGGAGAGAGGAAGGGATGAAGGGAGGGAGGGAGGGAGGGAGGAATGAAGGAGAGGAAGGGATGAAGGGAGGGAGGGATGAAAGGAGGGAAGGAGGGAGGAATGGGAGAGAGGGGGGAAGGGAAGGAGGGAGGAATGAAGGAGAGGAAGGGATGAAGGGAGGGAGGGAGGAGGAATGAAGGAGAGAGGAAGGGATGAAGGGAGAGAGGGTGAAAGGAGGGAAGGAGGGGGAATGGAGGGGAGGGAGGAGGGAAGGAGGGAGGGATGAAAGGAGGGAGGGAGGGAGGGAGGAGGAAAGGGAGGAATGAAGGAGAGGAAGGGATGAAGGGAGGGAGGGGGAGGAATGAAGGAGAGAGGAAGGATGAAGGGAGGAGAGGGAAGGAGGGAGGAAGGGAAGGAGGAAGGAATGAAGGGAGAGAGGGAGGGAGAAAGGAAGGATATTTAGGTGCCCGCCATGTTCCAGGCAAAATGCTGAGTGCTTCATAAATATTTCATTTGATCCTCACAACAACCCAGAGAAATAGGTGCTATTAACGCCCCCATTTTATAGATGAGAAAACTGGGATAGGCAGAGGTCAAGTGACGGCCAGGGTGACATAGCTGGTGTAAGGCCAGCCTAATACAGGCCTTGAGCTCCCATCTTCCTGACTGCAGGCCCGGCGCTCTAACCGCTGAGCCGCCTGGCTGACCAGGTGACACTCTGACTTGACTGCTTGGCTGTGGAAGGTGAGAGGTGGAGTAGTGAAGGATCAGACCCAGCCGGCCAGCCTGGGGACTCAGACGGCGGCGTGACCCTCACTGGGAAGTAACAGGACAGTTTGAAAGGGGGGAGTTTGGCAGGGTGCACAGTTTTGAAAATGTTGAATTTTAAAATGTCTGCAGGACCAGAGCAAGGCTAATCCCTTTACATACACAGAGGCAGAAAGGCCCTGAGCCTTCTCTTCTCCCTAGCCCTCAGGGCCCGGGCCCCTGGGCAGAGATGTCAGAGGAGGGATTCTTCCTGGGCTCCAGGTCCGACTCAGTGGCCTCGGGGCTCCCTCCCAGCTCTGAGACCACACAAAGAGTGGGCGTGCCTCACCACCCCAGCACCGGATTTTAACAAATGGACATTTAATCTTCTTTTGTTCATATCACGTAGATGTTTATTCTGTGATCAAAACATGCACACAGCCTTCTGTGCACAATAGATACAACATGGGGAGGGGCAGGGGATGGGGTACAATTTTCAAACTTTGTCAAGGGCACACAAACATGTCCCAGCAGCCCCCTTCCCCCACCTCCTTTTCCTCTTCTCTCCCTCCCTCTCTGTCTCTCACTCTCATTCTTTCTCATATTCTCTGTCTCATATTCTCTCTCCCTCTGTCTCTGTCTCTCTCTCATTCTCTCATATTCTTGCTCTCATATTCTCTCTCTCTTTCTTTCTCCTCTCTGTTTCTATCTCTGTCTCTCATTCTCTGTCTCTGTCTCCTCTCTCTGTCTCTGTCTGTCTCTGTCTTTCTCCTCTCTCTCTCTGTCTTTCTCTTCTCTCTCTGTCTCTCTCATTCTCTCTGTCTCGGCTTCCTGCTGCGGTAAGTCAGTACTGACCCGTCTTTCCCTCCCCACAGTGAGCCTCCCCCACACAACCTCTGAGGTCCCTTCCAATTCTCAGCTTCTGTGATTTATTCCTGCTGTGATGGGGCTCCGTGTTCTCTAACCGCAGCTGGGCCTTTGGGGCTCTAGAGCAATCCTTAATTTCTGGAAAGGCAGCCTGGCTCAGTGAGTGAGTTGCTGGATTTGAGTCAGCAGTAATACCTGGGTTCAAATTCCATCTCAGACACTAACTAGCTGTGTGACCTTGGGCAAGTCACATCTTTGTATCTCAGTTTCCTCATCTGTAAAATGAGGTTAGCTTCTAGCCCTGAGCGTATTCCTCTCTGATCTACAGTCCCATTTCTCACAGTAGCTATATTTGTGCCCTGTGGGGTCACTGGAATCCCCCTCCTCCCAGCAGATAACCTGGAATGCCTCAGCTGAGAAAACTGAGGTTGCAGGGTCTTATTACATCCTACCCCCTCATACTATGAGGCAGTGACATTGGCCTCCTTCTACTTCCTCACAGCAGACACTCCACCTCACGACTCGACTCGAGGCCTTTTCTCTGGCAGTGCCGCATGCCAGGAACACTTCCTCCTCATCACCTTCTAGCTTCTTGGCTTCCTTCCAGTCCTAGCTAAAATCCCACCCTCTTTAGGAAGCCTCCCCCAGCCCCTTTTAATTCTACTGCCCTCTCTCTGGGATCATCTCCAGTTTCTACTGTCTGTTCCTTGTTTGTACACAGTTCTTTCACATCGTCTCTCCCATTAGACTGCGAGGTCCTTGAGGGCAGGGGCTGGCTTTTGCCTTTCTTAGCCTCCCAGGATCAATGCTTGTTGACTTGAATCTGTCCTGAGCTCCTTTGACCCCCCGCCACACACATACACACTGTCCCTCATACCTTCAGCCGCCTCTCTCTCTTCACTTGTGGTCCCTTCTTTTATTCCAGCCTCAGAGAAGAAGGTGGCCCTCTTTGCTAAGCTAATCCCCTCTGCATCCTTGATTCAGAACCTCAGCTGGAAAGGACCCAAGAGCCCATGGAGTCCAGACGTGACCGGACTCCCCTCCTGCGGCGGCATTCTCCCCTCACCGTGCCCCCATTAGTCCTTCTCATCTGCAGGGTCTCCCTATTTACTGGCTCTTCTCTACTGCCTGCAGACATGCTCAGGGCTGCCTTGGTCTTCACCCTTTATCTGAGTGGGTCCTCTCCTCAAGTGATCTTCTCCCTTTCCCAGCTGCACATCTACCACCTCCGCTTTCTCAGCTTCCACAGATTCCTTGAACCCCTTGCAGCCTGGCTCCTGACCCTCCCTCCCTTTTGCCCCTCCTTCTACACCAAGCCTGCTCTTTCCAAGGCGTCCCAAGCGCTACATCCAATGGTCTTCTCCCAGCCTTCCTCTGCCTTGACCTCCGAGAGGCTTTGAGACGCTATTGCCCAACCTCCTAGATCCATCTCATACCTTAGTTTCTATGACCTCAGTCTCCCCTGGGTCTCCTCCTACCTCTCTGGCCACCCCTTCTCAGGCACCTCCCACACAGTAGGCATAGGCTTCCCCTGGGGCTATGCCCAGGACCCTCCTCTGTCTTTGACAATCTCATAAGCTGCCATGGATTCAATTATATCTCTGTGCCTACAACTCCCAAATATTTACATCTGTCTCCTGATCAGCCTACTTTAGTTTGGAAAGTTATAATTCAGAGCTAGAAGGATCTTAGAAGGCATTTAATCCAACCTCATCATCTTACAATTGAGGAACTGAGGACCCCAAAAGTGACTTGCCCAGGGTCACACAGATAAGGAGTGGCAAAGCCAGGATTTGAATCCAGGCCCCACCACCACCATCTTTGGTATTGTACCACAGTCCTGGACAACTGCTAGGCAGTCTGTCACTTGGCCTGTAAATCAACCTCCACACCTTAATGAAAATATATATCAGCAGCACTTGGCTCATAATACCAGAAAACGTGGCACTGATGTTGGATTTGTACTGACTCTACCCCAAGTCTTCTTGGGTACCAAGGAGAAAAACACTGGCCTAAACCAGGGAAGGTAAAACATGCCTATCTGCATGGTCACCTGTCAGCTGGGACAGAAACGCATGCCCCTCAAATGAGAAAAAGACTAGAGCCTCGCCCTATGTCTCCTGAGAAAGATGCTGTCAAATCCCATCTCCCATGCCCACGTCTGCCAAACCAAGTGCCCAGACTCCATTTAAAATGCTAACAAAATAGATATATTTATTTAATCTTCCACAAGGAAAATGAGATCAATACAACCAAACATACCATGCTGGGGGCAGGTGGTGGCTTCTCTGTACCAGGTCCTGGTTGTCATTTCCCATTAGCCTCAAAGGACAGTCCCCTTCCAAGACTGCCCCCCAGCCACATGCACCCAGCCAGCCTTCCTCACTCCATCCCCTCCCAGGTTCCTGGCCAAGTTTATCTCCAGCCCCCTTTTCTCCATCCCTTCCCCACCCCCACCCCCCATGGTTCTGAGCAGGAGCTAGGTTAGAGCTCCTAGGAACAGGGGAGGTCATCACACAGTTCCAGCTGGACGCTGGATGCAAACCAGCGCTTGGGGCAGCCCAGGTTGTAGTGGAGGGTGGTGCGGTAAGTGTTTTTGGGGTGCTTGGGGAAGATGATGGTGGTGCTCTGGAAGCGCAGGGCCCGTTGGCGAGGTTCGAAGGTCAGCTGGGTTTTGTAGTTCCGCCATGTGCAGTTGGGGGTGGCGATGATGGTCTCGCTGTAGGAGGTGACGGTGGGGACGGGGACATAGAAGATGTTGTCTCGGTAGTGTTTCTCAGAATCGTATTTGATTTCGGAGTTGCAGCTGGCAAGGGCAGAACAGGAAGGAGGGGCAGCCAAAAAAGGAAAGAGAAAACACCCAAGGTCAGCAAGGAGCAGCATCCTAGCCTAGTGGAGAGAGCCCTAAGTTCAGAGACTGGGGTCAAAAGCAGGCAAGGAAACTGAGGCGCCCATGGCCACGAAGCTCGTTGGGGCTCAGATAAGAGTTGAACCAAAGCCTCGTATAATTTAATACATTTAATACATCATGCCACCCGTTCAAAGGAAAGGACTTCGGCATTTTTGGTTTTTATGTATTTTCAGAGTCCAAAAAACATTTATTGAGCACTTACTCTGTACTTGGCATCGTACAAAGTGTATGTTGTGCTGGATTGGATTTGGGACGCTGTAGAAGGGATTTTTGTTCGGGTATGGGCTAGACTAGATGGTCTCCTAGGTCCAGAGGAACGCCAAGGGTCTACGCTCATGACCCTCAAACATTTAAACAATGGGGAAAAAAATCCTCCCCACTCACTGTACCTACTCCCACTTTTACCCAATGCTGCTGCCCAAAGCCAGCCTAGCTCCCACCTAGGTAAGCACAGCCCCCCTGATTATTTCAGCCTGCCTCGTGGACTTTCATTCTGGTCCCTCCCTCTCTCTTTCTCTCCCTGTAAATCCCTTTCAAGAATCCTTCCTTACCTGGTTTCACTCTATCCCTTACTTAATTAAGAATCTTCTCCCTAGCCAGAGTCATGAAAGATAACTGCTTTTTATTGTTATCTTCTCTCTTTCATGATGTAACTTTTGAAACTTAGGTGACGTACCCATTTGGAACTTTTTCTGGTATACAGTATGAGATACTGATCTAAGCCCTCTTTCTGCCAGACCTCCTGCAGTATCGGACAGTCACCCTGATGCCCTTAATGCTCTCCTGCCTTTGCTTCACTGACTCATTTGAGAGCTCCTATTCACCTCTATATTATTCAGATAAGAATACGTTACAATGGACTCTGTTAATACCAGCTATTACTCAAAATCAGCAGCATTGGAATAGCACTCTGGGCAGGGTGGGTGTTGTTTGTACTAAGATGTTAGCCCATGTTAAGGTTCTTTTTTTTTCAATAACTTTATTTATTATTGTGTAATACATTTGAAAGGAAGGGAATATTAGTTCATGTCTAACTTCTGCAGGAATGATCGTCTGTATTAGGAGGAAAGGTGTCTGGAGAAGGTCAGTGAGAAATGCTGAGAGGAAAGAGGCGTTGGCCTACATCTACCTTACTTAACAAGTTCACCTAGAGTAGGCCCTGTCCTCTTCTTTCCCCTCTGTTTTCTTTACTTTTTAATTTATTTTATTTTCAATTCATGGAACAAAATAAGCATTTCTGTAACACAGTACAATAAAAAAGACAATTGGGGGCAGCTAGGTGGCACAGTGGATAGAGCTCTGGCCTTGGAGTCAGGAGGACCTGAGTTCAAATCCAGTCTCAGACACTTAACACTTACTAGCTGTGTGACCCTGGGCAAGTCACTTAACCCCAATCACCTCACCAAAAAAGAAAAAAAAAGACAATTGCACATAAAATTGCCAATCTACCATGTACAACTCTATTCCCTCCGTGTAAATTACATGCAATTTCTTTTTTTCCCCTTTTTTCTTCCCTCCCCTTCCACCCACCACCCTGGAGATGGCTACCATTAAACACGAATGAGTACATAGGTTTAAAATGCTCCTATACATTCTATTTATAAGTGACCTTGGGTCGAGACCGTGCCCAACAGTGACTCAGTAGATGCTCCTTCCTAATACACATAGTTTAATTAATTACTCCATAGCTGACTCTGAAATCACAAAGAGTCAGGACCTGAACTGGCGCATTGGTATTAAAGAGATGCCATGGCATGAGTGCCGGATGGGGGCCAGAGGAGCTAGGGTTTGGATCCTGGCATCGCCACCACCTGTGGAACTGTTGGCAAGTAACACCTTTGTTCTGAGGCCGCTGGTTTGTTTTTTCCTTCTTCTGTAGAATGAAGAGACGACCAACTCTGAATCTACGGTTCCAGGATTATACGTCTGGAACTTCTGAGGCTGTTGACACCCAGTACCAGCACCCTAATTCAGACCCCCATTTCTCCCTTCTGGATTCCCTTTCTGCAGTCTCTCCCTTCACAAATACATCCTTCTTACAACTGCTGAGTCACTTTCCTAAGGCATAGTTCTGACTTCACTCAGAGACCATCCATGGCTCCCCATTGCCCACTGAAAAAAATACTAGCTTCTTAACTTGGCATTCAATGCCTTCTACCACCTTGCTCCAACCTACCCTTTTAGCAAGAATTCACAATATGCCACTTCACACCCTAGGCCTGGCCAAACAGAAGACTCCGCTGCCTTCTCCTGTTCTGCCTTTTTGCATATGGCGCCCATGCCCAGAATGTCCTTCTTCCCTCTCCCTGGCATCTCTGCCTGTTGATATTCTTCCTGTCCTTCAAAGCCAATTCTGCCGTGAAACCTTTGCTCCTTCCACCCTGGTCTGATTCCTCAGTCTCTTAGCACATTCTTACATCTCTCCTCTGCATTTTGTTTTATTATAGTTACTTCTGTACCTTCTCATTCCCATGCTAGTTAGGCTCCTGGAGCTAGGGATTTTTTTCTTTCTTTCTTTCTTTCTTTCTTTCTTTCTTTCTTTCTTTCTTTCTTTCTTTCTTTCTTTCTTTCTTTCTTTCTTTCTTCCTTTTTTTCTTTCTTTCTCTTTCTTTCTTCCCTTTCTCTTCTTTCTTTCTTTTTTCTTCCTTCCTTCCCTTCCTTCCTTCCTTTCTTTCTTCCTCTTTCTTCCCTTTCTCTTCTTTCTTTTTTTCTTCCTTCCTTCCCTCCTTCCTTCCTTCCCTCCTTCCTTCCTTCCTTCCTTCCTTCCTTCCTTCCTTCCTTCCTTCCTTCCTTCCTTCCTTCCTTCCTTCCTTCTTCCTTCCTTCCTTCCTTCCTTCCTTCCTTCCTTCCTTCCTTCCTTCCTTCCTTCCTTCCTTCCTTCCTTCCTTCCTTCCTTCCTTCCTTCCTGTCTTTCTTCCTCTTTCTTTCTTCCCTTTCTCTTCTTTCTTTCTTTTTTCTTCCTTCCCTTTCTTTCTTTCTTTCTTTCTTTCTTTCTTTCTTTCTTTCTTTCTTTCTTTCTTTTTCTTTCTTTCTTGTCTCCCTCATACACACCACAATATCACAATACATGACATCTCTGGCATCTTTCCATCCTACTTCAGACAAAAGGCAAGTCTGCCTTTTCCTAACTCCAAGGCCAGGCCAAATGACTTTTGGCTCAGATTATGACAACTGCTTTGTATTTGGTCTTTCTGCCTCGAGGCACTCCCAACTCCTACTCATCCTCCATGGAGCTGTCATTCTCCCAAAGCACAGATCTGACCAAATCATGGCCTACTGCTCAGTAACTTTCAGTGGCTCCCTATTACCTCTAGGACCAAATACAAGTGCATCTGATGTTTGAAGACCTTTACAACCTGGCTCCGGACTACCCTTCTAGGCTTTCTATAGATTACTCCCATTCATGCAATCCCAAGTTGAGCCACGCTGGCTTTGTCTGCTGTTCTGCACACACGACATCCCATTTCCCCCTCTCCAGACCTCTGCATGGAAGGCGCTCCTTCCTGACTTCTGTTTCTCAGAAATCTCTTCAAAGCTCAGCTCAGGTACCAATTTCTACATGAGGATCCTTTCCTGACCCTTCTTCCCCATGGGTGTTGGGGTCCCCCTCTCCAAATACCTGTTACTTATTTTCTTAAACGTATATGTACGTATTGTCTCCTCTGATAGAATGCCAGTTCCTTGAGGGAAGGGTCTGTTTGCACGCCCAGGACCCAGCCTAGTGGCTGGCACACAGCTGGCATTTAATAGATGCGCACTGATTAGTTCTATCATATGAATTCTTTCTAAAAGATGAATATCCCCTCCCCCTCACAAGCCTTCACTACCTCCTCCATGGGCCAAAGGAGAAAGCCGCTGCCACACATACCGAATTTCCTGCATGGGCTCAGGGTTTACTTCAATGCTTTCCCCAAAAAACACCGGGTGCAGCCTGGGTCTCATCTCCAGCATAGCAGGGTCCTGGAGGAGGTGAGGAGCCTGTAGGGAGAAGAAATGCTCACATTTAGTTAGTTACATAGTATCCCCAACCCCAGCACCCCCACTGGGGGGACGCCCACCCTAGAGGACCTCAGAGGCATGAGAGTCTGACCCCTCAGTTACAGATGCTGAAACCGAAGCCCAGAGAGGATGATGGGACGAGAGCCAGGCGCTGGAGCCTGAGAGGCGAGCAGAAAGTCATCGAACCTGACTGATTTTACAGATGAGGAAACAGGCTCAGAGAGTGGAGATGATTGCCCATGTCACCGGCTGACCCCCTCCTCACTCTACAGATAGCCTTGTACATCTTTATGAGGAGCAGAGGCCAGGCGCTGTGCTGAGTGCTGGACAGCACCGGAAGAGGCCTCCCTAGAACCTCACGTTAGGAGGGAGCCTGCAGCCGCGTGCCAAGATCCCTGCTTTTGAGGGTCCCCGACACAGGAGAGCCCCGGCCTGGGCACAGCTGCACCAGGTGGCCTTGCACCTGGTGGTCTAGGCCACAGATCCTCTGAATTTCCCACTGCTGGGGAAGACGAACCAGCCTCCTAGCCTGAGGCGGGGGGGACGCGTGTTTCCCGAGCTCGAGATTAGACATGGCGCTTAATCAGAGAGTAGCGTTCCCCCACTTACACGTAGTCATTGATAGGCTGCTTTCACAATTGTTCATTTCATTCTCTGGTAGAGGATTATGGTGCTAGATCCAGAGGCCGCCTGGTCCAACTCCCTCTTTTTACAGATGAGGAAACCGAGGTCCAGAGAAGTTCAACAACTTGCCCAAAGCCACATAGGTACTAAATGACAGTCGGAATTAGGACTCAGGGCCTGCAACTCCATTTTCTTTGCTCTTTCCTGCCTTGAGGTGCCATCCATACAAATCTCTCAGGCTGTAACTTGAAGTGCTCTCCTGTGGCAGGTGGGGGACCTGCCTGACCCAAGAGCTCTTCTTCTAGAACCTCTTCTTCACCCTTTTGAGAGGTCAGCTGATCAAACCCAATCCCTACAAATACGTGAGCAAAACCAGATGCCTGCCCTCAAAGAGCTGACATTCTACTGGAGTGATACAGGATGAGCACAGACAGACAGCATTTATTAAGTGCTCACGATGTGCCAGGCACTGTTGTTTGGTGTTCAGTTGTGTCCAGCTCTTCATGACCCCATGGGGGTTTTCTTGGCAGAAATACTGGAGTGGTTTGCCATTTCCTTCTGCAACTCGTTTTACAGATGAGGAAGCTGAGGTAAGCAGGGTGAAGTGACTTGCCTAGGGTCACACAACTGGTCAGTGTCTGAGGTTGGATTTGAACTCAGGTCTCCCTGACTCCAGGCCTGGTGTTCTATCCATCACGCCACTTAGCTGCCCCTGTAGCTACAAATGCAAGATCAAAACCTGATGCCTGCCCTCAAAGAGCTTACATTCTACTTAGAGTGATATAGGATAAGCATAGACAGCGTTTATTAAGTGTACTATGTACTGGTCACTTTGCTCAGAGAAGCATATACAGGATAATTTGAGGTGGGACTCAGTAAGCCAGTCAACAAGCATTTATTAAGTGCTTACTATGTGCCAGGCAGGCCTACTATGTGCTAAGCAAGGGGGATCAGGAAAGGCTGACAGTAGGAATTAGAGAATTTGGAGCCCAGAGGGGCCACCTAAAAGGAATTCCCACTGGAACACGGTGGCTGCTGCTCAAAGTTCCCCAAGGAAGGGAGCCCATCACCTCTCCAGGCAGCCCATTCTCCATTTGGCCAGCTCTCTTCATTAGAAGGTGGCACCCAAGCTGCATGCTGAGCCTTGAAGAATTGGCACTGGGGAGCTCTGAAAGATGGCGGTGAGGAGAGGAAGCAGCTTGGGGAGGCAGTGGGGGGGGCGACTGCAAGTTACGGGAACACCGGGTCCTAGCAAGGGCTGTTCTGGTGCTGTCCAGCACTCATCACAGCGCCTGGCCTCTGCTCCTCATAAAGGCGTACAATGCTATTTGTAGGGGGGGGGGGACGACACAGGACGGACAACCGGTGACATGGGCAATCATCTCCACTCTCTGAGCCTATTTCCTCATCTGTAAAATCAGAGTCGGGTTCGATGACTTTCTGCTTGCCTCTCAGGCTCCAGAACCTGAGTGATGGGAGTGATGGGAAATAAGTCTAGAAACGTCAGAAATGACGGATGTGGAAGAGTCTCTATTGTATCCTGTCCTTGACAATCAAGGGTAACAGGGAGCCCCTGAAAGTTCTTTTCTTCCAATGGTTATTGATTTCTTGTTTTTTTTTCTATCACCTGCATTTTCCAATATACCATCCACCTCTCAGAGAGTGATCCCTTATGACAAAGAATAAAAAAAGAGAAAAAAAATTCCAATTAAGCAACATATCGGAAAAAGCCTGACATATGCAGTGTTCCATACCCGTCATCCCCCACCTCTGTTAACAAGCCAGGAGAGGTTCCTTCTCCTATCTCCCACCAGTGGTTCTTAAGCAGGGTGGGGAGTGTGGGGGATGGGGGTGGATCTATGGTCTGACTTGTGCCTTAGGAACCTTCTTTTGGCAGCTGGGGGTGGGGGGCACAGGGCCAGGCACATAGGAATCATTGAATAAATGTTTGTTGATTGACCCATTTGGACCACAGAGGGGAGAGACAGGAAGCCAGGAGTCCCACCAGGGACTGTTATAATGCACAGGTCCCTGCTCTACCTTTCACCTTCCTTCCACCTTTCAGGGCTCCCAGCTCAGGGGCAAGAAGGAGAATGCCCGAGGCAGATCTCTCTCTTCCCCAGCTCCATTATTATCTCAGGAAAATCTTTCTCCCTTTTGCACTCTCTGGGGAGCCCCCCCCCCCACATTAATGATGACAGATTAGCCCAAGGGAAATGTAAATGATGCCTATGTCCCAGAAGAGGCAAGTCGCCAGTTCCAGTTTGGAATAAATCATTTTCCTAGTCCAAGGGGCTACATTTTCATCATTGTGGACGAATCACTCCACTCCCCCAGCCCCGTTGTGCCACGATGGCATTCTAGAGCTACTGTAGCTGAAAAGCTCTCTCCCTGGTGGCCAGCCTGGAAGCAGGCTGGGATATCGTCCGACCCCTTAGGACAGACCCCCCTTGTCCTGGCAGCAGCCCTGCTAATGAGCACTGATGCAAAATTTTAAAATAAAATCTTCGCAAAGAGATTACAAGAAAAAAAAAACCATCTGGAAAATAATTCACTGGGACCAAGCTGGAATCATTCTAGAAATGCCAAGATGGCCCCACACTATATAAACAGTGATAGCTGTTAACCATGGATCTGGGCAGCGTGCCTGAGGCATGGATTCAAATCTCACCGCTGCCAGAGGGGTAGCTTAAATGGAAAGGAGGCTGGATTTGGGGTCAGACAAGTTGGGTTCCAGTTTGGTCATGGTGCTTATTAACCGTGTGACCCCAGCCTTGGGCAGGCCACGTGGCCTCACCGTGCCTGTTTCCTGATCTGTAAAATGAAGTAGGCAACCTCTACAATCCCGTCCGGGTCTGGCTCTGTACTCCTGGCTTCCTTCAAGTCCCAGCTAAAATCCCACCTTCTACAAGAAGCCTTTCCCAAGCCCCCTTACTGCCGGCCTCTTCCCTCTGCTCATTATCTTCAATGTATTCTGTCTATTTGTTACATGTTGACTCCCTCACTGGACTGTGAGCTCCTTGGAGGCAGGGCTTTTTTATCTCCCTTTATTTATATCCTCAGCACAGTGCCTGGCACCTAGTAATAATAAATGCTTATTTCTTCCTTTCCTTCCCCAAAGCTATGGGCACCTCCTTCCTTCCCCTCCCAACCCTACAATAACAATAGTGTCCAATATGTAAATAATCACATTTACGTAACACTTTACACACTTTATGCCTTCTGAGCTTCACCATTTACCCTGTGATAGAGGCATTCTCTCCATTTTACAGATGAGAAAACTGAGGCTCAGAGTGGTTAGAACTTAGGCAGAAATTAATCAAAGATTCTAAAGCTTCTGAAAATGCTGATCTCTAACACTTTGGAGGCAACGTGATTCCAAGGAAAGTGCATTGGAGTCAGAGGGTGTGGGTTTGAATCTTGTCTCTGCTACTTAATGCCTGTGTGAGGGTGGGCGGGCCTCTCAAGGAGGCCCTGGGCCCGGACTGGCGTCTGAGACCCTTTCCAGATCAAAAGCTGTGGGCCTGTTTCCTCATCTGCAAAACAACATCTCTGGTTCCTTCCTGCTCAATCTGGGATCCATTTTCTCCCTATAAATAAGACTCTTTGAGAAGACAGCTCACTGAGCCATTGTAATAAGCTGCCTCCTTGTTCCCCTGTGCTTTCTAAAGACCCTCTCCTAGCTTCCTCTTTCCCCTAAAGGTGCTCACATCCAGGGATGGATGAAAGCAGATTCCCCCTGCCTTCAGGTAAGGGAATAAAGTGAAGGAGGAAATGGGCCAAGTTCTCTCTTTCTGTAATGCAAGAAGGGCAAGAGAATCGTCATCAGGCTGGGAATCGGCTTCTGTCCCTCCAAAAGTGCAGAGGACCTTCTCCAGGCGCCATGACAGTCTCCCCAAATAACCACAGCTTCAGCTCCTGGGAGGTGCCTGTGTGTGTGAACCTTCAGTAGCTCCCCACTGCCCCTGACATCAGTGACAAAATCCTCAGCCTGGCCATTTAAAGTGCTCCAGAGTCTGGCTCCCACCAACCTGTCCAGTCTTTATGGCACGTTATTCCTCTTCCTATACTCCGTGGGCTGGTCCATCTGGCTGCCCAGCTGTTCATTATACTTGACATTCCATCGCCTGCCTAATGGCTCTTTGCACTGGCTGTCTCCCATGTCTGGAAGGTTCTTCTGCTTCACCTCTGCTAGTGTGACCCGTCCTTTCCCCCTCCTCCCAATTATTACCTGTCTTGAAGTTACTTTGTGTTTATTCACTAGATTATGGGCCTCAGTAGAAAGTAAGCTTCTTGAGGGCAGGGGCTATTTCATTCCTGTGTGTAACTCTGATGCCCAGTACTGCACCTCACAC